TTATTATTATTATTATTATTATTATTATTATTATTATTATTATTATTATTATTATTATTATTATTATTATTATTATTATTATTATTATTATTATTATTATTATTATTATTATTATTATTATTATTATTATTATTATTATTATTATTATTATTATTATTATTATTATTATTATTATTATTATTATTATTATTATTATTATTATTATTATTATTATTATTAAATTATCGTTATCATCATCGTCATCATTATCGTTTGATTATCCCCATAAAGTCATAGAAGGAGCTGCTTAAGGCTAATGTATTTTCACACTAAATGGATTTCTCGGCAGATTTTATAAACCAAAAACTGCGAAGTTTGGAGTGTTCTCTATTTCTTCGCAGTTTTTCTAGTCCAGTAATTTATCTGTAGATTTGGATCCACTCATTTTCACCTTCCCTAACTGCTACTCTTAACAGTTCCTCTCACCATCATATTGTATTTCTCCTTTTGTATGATTATTTATATTGGTCGTTAGCAAAAAAGCAAAAAAGAAATTTCAAGCTGCCAACCTACTGTTGTTGGACAGGTCGTTAGGGATTTCACAGAAAATTACAAAAACTTTGCATTACGTTGTTTTGAATATATGGTATACTCGTAAGTCATATTTCACTTTGTCAAAAAAATATTTTACAGTGAATTTTTGCAATATTACTTTTCCTTTTTAAAAATTTGAAGTTTAAATGTGAACCCAAAGTCCATTTTAACTATTTTTAAAATTTAGCTTTTAGTAATGCTGAAGAAGAAAGGAAGCATGACGTACATAGCATTTAAAATAGTAATGCTGTTAGTAAAAAGAATGTGTGGAATGTATGGACATTTGTTGTTTTCCGCTACTATCAGATATCCGTCACCAACACCACATTTTCCACCATACCTTCTCTGGTGCAAATAAATTTTTCATTCAAATGTCAACATCTCACTAGCAACTCACATTTAACTGATTCTTGTAAATCGCTTTAATAATCCATTTCTACTCATTGTTATATTGTTTCTAAATTATAAAGAGACTGTTTGATCAGCAATGGTGTCTGTAGATGAGCCCACTGAGTGGGAGCCATGCGATCTAAGCACTATCTACTTCGACTTTTTGGTGAGTCAATCCCTTCAGCCTTTTCTTGATAATAGAAGATAATTTTTTCTTATCTTATTGAAGCTCACTCAGCTTTCTGTTACGCCGCACTTCCGCACTATTCAACAGATATTTCTTATTTTTACATTAGTAGAGGACAGAATTTTCAAGGTCCATTAATTAAATATCTTTTGCTAACATTTAAGTGAATGTGCCATAATAGAGACGAGGCACAGAAAATGTTGTCGAGTTCATGAAGTCCAGATATCGGTGGAGACCTCATTTTAGGAAATATTAGTTATCAAATGCCAAAGTTATTTCTAGTTCGTTTTGTAAAGCAAATCGATACTGTATGTTCATGCATATAACATAACATTTTCCATTCCTTTTTTAACTAAAGTCACGAAATTTTCAAATTCTTGAAAATATTTCAGCAGTTTTGGCAAAGGATTCAATGTCATTTTACATTATCGATCAGTTTTCATTTTCATTTTGACATTCGAGTTTGATCCTATCTTAGCAGTCTTTGTTTCTGATGAAGCTTTTAATTTCTGGGAAGTATAAATATTTCATGCATGTCAAGCATTGCTTTTTTGTCCTCAAAGGGGAGTTCACCTTGGCATGGTTTTGATGGTCTGTCTTCTGCAAGCACTTTCCTTGGCCACTGCAAGTCATTTTAGATTCTTTTCACTCTGTTTCTTAATTCTTTAGTCAAATTTGATGAACTGATGGGACTAATGATTTTTCAGGATCTACCGTTCGTCCTCGCAATCATATCCTTATCCACGTACGCACACACTTGTTGTTGTTCCTCCGACACGGCCAATTATGGAGAGTAATGCCGAGAAAGGGCATGCTAAAATGCGGCCTCCATTGAATCGCACCATACCACCGATACCGGAATCGAAGTCCAATGATTCAATTATAACTCATACCTTGGAAAAGTGCACTGAAATTCTTACTGAACACCAACCTTCAACTTGCCGAGCCCTTCGAGAACCTTCATGCGTCAAATCGATGGGAGACCTTGTTCCATCATTTACTGCCAAGGTAAATTCAAAAACGAAATCTTATGAACCGAATCTTTATTAGAGCTTAATATTGTTAAATTTGAACATAAATAAGCAGATAAACGATATTCTTGGACAGAGTTATTGTGCAAATTCTTCTAGGCACATTTCAAATTCATAAGGTGCTTCTAACAGAAAAAGTATGTAAATAAAGCAGTAACTCAGCTTCCTCGTTCTTTTTTATCTCTACTTCCTTTCGTAATTGACTTTTAAGTTGGATTTTGTTGAAACCAGTGATTTTAAATTTAAATTCTTAAGCAATATTGTTTCCATGAATTTCTTATGAATTGGTCACATTTATCGTCGCAGTTTTTCCTTTGATCACAATTCCAGAAGTTCTAGTTCGGATCTCCACAGATTTTTCTAGGAACTGCGAATATCTTCACAAAAGACTGAGAGCGATGGATCATCAGTTATCGAAAGTACAACGGCGCACTGTTTGGTAGCAAAAACTGCAGCAGTCATTTCCAACCGAAACAAACGGCCAGAAGATGTTCCACGAAGCCCATTGATGAGTGTTGCCCACTCCGTGCGGTCAAAGCTTACAAAACTTGGAAATCGTTTTAGCTGGTCAGATGGGAATCAAAATATCCGTATCAGTACCAGCTTATCTAGGTGACCATTGATAAATTCGAATGATTTTCCAATAAATTTTTAAAAAATCATGAAGTCTTGGTCATAGTCCTCAGACAGGATTGCTAATTTAGGACAGGATAAAATCTGTTTTGAAGCTATTTGAATTTGGATGAAAAGTTTTTCATATACTCATATAGTTTCTTAAGTCGTCAGTAAACGCTTTCAGAGGATTGAACTTCCAAGGTAGTAGCAGTAGAGAAGGGCTTCAAAAGAGTTTGAAAATTTGTGCTTCTGCTTCTCACTAGTTTGCTATTTCTGACGCTTTTCTGTCTTATCATTACATAAGATCACTGTGATATTTTGTTTCAATAGTGATATGAAGCAATGGTCATATCACCAGTTTTGCTTTTCATATCACATGTTTATGTTAAAAGTACGAAATTATTTTTTGATTGCGAGATTTTGGGCCATAATTCTCGAAATTTCCATTTTCAGCAGAAAACTCCGGTTTATCTTAAACCAAAGATTAAACTTCAAGATTTATTGCTTTCCAAAATTCATTGTTTTGTTTTATTTGCTACTGCTTACTGATGCCATTTAACTGCATAGAGATAAAAGGAAAAGCCATCTCATTACTGTATTAGACTTCTAAAATTCAGTGTAGTTATTTCAGAATACGTCATTTTCTCTCCATAAGTCCGACATCATACACAGAACTCATCATGTTTTTTGCTTTAGCCTAAGTTTCACCCATTTTTTTACTTTATATTACTTTTTTTGGAGAGTTGAAAATTCGAGGGTTTCTGTAAGTAAAAGACTATATCGAATTGTTTTTGGAACAGTTTGTTGTTTTAAATATTTTAAAATTGGGAAGAACATTTTTCTTTTAGCGGAACTTTTTTTGCAGCATGCGTCGAGGTCCTTTCGATAAACTGAGCTATGTACCATCTAATACGCAATTCAAGAAATCGGCGAGTATGGAGACGCGAACCAACCAAGACTCTACAAAGGATTTAGTCAAACCTGTCCCTTCCAAACAAATTTTAGGAAGCAGTGCACTAAGAATCCCGAAAATTCCGAAATCACGAACATCTTTAGACGATCAGTCATCATATCTGGAAACTTCTAAGCGAAGCATTTTTTTCACTCAGGACAAATACTGCAAGATTATCAGACCTAAGAATTTGCCACCTAGACCGGGAAATGATACGAAGACGAATTCAATAGTGAAAGCTTTCAAGATACATCTGGAACCGAGAGCTACACAGACTGTCTCACCACCTGATAGGATTCGTCAACTCAATTCGCCCACTGCAGCATTCACAATGACTGCTGGGATACATACTTCCAAGAATCAAGAAAATATTAAAGAAGCAAAAATCAAGCCTGCAACGAATATTTTTGTAAGAAGTAATACAGGTAATTCAGGACTTTATGAACCACTATATTTCTAATTAACTTGCAGTGAGTTACGATCTCCTTTCAAGTTTTATTACGATTGATGCAAGCTTTTGCATATCTATTTATTGCTCGTTTCTCCTTTTTTCTTGTCATTCAACTTTTTGTTTAGGATGCATCTGCTGAAAGTAAAGCTTGTTTTTCTTTTTTTTTTTGCAAACTCCATTTTGCATTTTTCAGATTACAGAATTTAGTTCACAAGTTTTTTGCAACGATACCCTAAACAAAAACTTGCCAAACAAATAGTTAAAAAAGAAATATTTTAAGTAGACACTGTATTTCTATATTGATATATGTCGGATTTCTTTTCTTTTAGAGCAAGATGCTTACCGAACATCCCGTTTGAAATCTCAACATAATAGAGGTGATCATGAACAGATGAAAGCGGGAAGTACTAATCGACAAAGTTCTTTTATACCGCTCTACACAACACCACCACGAAGATTGTCTGCCAGAAAATCTGGTACCGAAACGGGCCAGGTACTTTCTATCTTTGAATTTTTCTTTTTTCAGTTAGTAGCGAAATTGAATCAGTGAAATGAGCTCCCTTACTTCCTATGAACTTGATATAAACTTTACGTGGATTTATATAAATACATCTACTTATATATTATGTCACAAGATGATCTTTCCTGACAGGCACCGTTGGCGGAATGTGAATCATCTTGCATTGAAAATTCGCCAGCTTTTGAAGTGCCCCCAGTAAAATTTATTCCGGGTAAAATTCATTATATATGCACCAAAGGAAGTTCGGAAGACGGGACTACAAAATCACAATCATTGGACCCTAACTCGTCAACAAACTCAATGAGAGGTTCCTTTCAGCAAAACGAATATTTTGAAGCTTTGATGCCAAACATTTTCATTTACTAAAAGCAAATATTTTGACATCGAACTTAGTATTATTGAAATAATCTACAGGAATTCGACACTGCTTCGTACGGTTATTGCTCTACCCCTGAAGAATCTTTTTTGGTCTTTGATAATTTATCAGAAAAATTTTTTGATTGTTTTGTAATCTGTTTAGCATTTCCAGAAGCCTGTAATAAGCGGTTTTTGAGCAATGAGTCAACTCACAATTGTGGCAAGGCAACAAGGAAAGGATCGTTAGATAACAGAAAAAGGTACGTTGTCAAGAAGTCGAAAGTTATACCTCAATTTTTCTTTCATAAACCAACAAATAAATTCCGAAACATAGTCTCCGGTAAAGTTTAGGAACTCACGAATTGTTTTTAAGGGATGGCTGTACAATGATTAATGTTACACTACCAGACAGTTTATTAAATAATAATTTATCAAACAATCCTTCTACCGATTGCTCCTGTGACAATGATGCCAAGTCAGGGAATAGTCCCAATGACTTCGTTTCACCAACCGCAATGACTTCATCTGGATTTACAACTTCATCTGGTTTTCAAGATTTTCCTGATAAATCTTCAGATAAAGATGCAGAATTGAGTGAGCAATTTGTCGATATGACCATCATCGAAAAGTTCGTCTTTCTCGGGTATTTATTTCAACATGTACTCGTAAAGTGTTGTCACTTAGTAAAAGCAAAAATTTTTGATTCTTATAACGTGGTTTTTATGGAACATTTAAATAGGATTTAAGTGATATTAAAGGAAGTACGATTTCAAGAATTTGTTGATGACAATCCAAGCTAAAAAAATAATTTCTAGTTAGTGCCATTTTCTGTTTACCATGCAACATAATAAACACAGCTATTTATAAATCATTTAAATTCACAAAAAAGATTCTGTAATTCTGGACGTTTTTACACAAATTGTAAAGTTTATTGCAGAAGACGCAGTATCCTGCAAAAGCATTCTGATGCAGCAATTCTGATATATCAAAAACATGATAAATTAATGTTGCACATTTATCTTGGCAACTGTATTGACAGATTTCTAAAAGCCATTTAATATGACTTGAATGATGCAAGTTCTGACCTTCTAGAGGCTATTACTGTACTCGGTGACGTATGTGTTGCTTAGCTAAAAAAACTTCCCCAGTACCTTAAAACATTAACAGTATGTTAAATGACACTCAAACTGTATCATTCCCTCATCGATATCATCAGCGGTTCTAAATGTCCAAAGAGTTTTGTCCTTCATTCATTCTTCCTACCTTGCCGACTCATTAATTTTATCCGGAATAGTTGAGCTAATGGAACAATTATAAATTGCAATTTCAATTTGTAGTTTGTATTGCAAAGGATAACGAAACGAAAGGAACAAATTTGAGAGTGATGAATCGACAAAATTTATTTTCCCTAAACATTAATTCGGCAGTGGAATTTCTTGTTCTCCAATCTTTCTTCTTTTTGAACATAATGCTAGAACTTTTTCTTCCACATGAAACTGCTGGGAAAGGGGACGTGTTCGCGCATCGACGACACGCTGAAATGTCGTTGTACATGTTTCATACAAGCTGGGATGACATTTCTGAAGAATTCTTCAAGCGTGGTTTTTTAACATAAAAATTCAAAATTCTTGGGAACATTGTTTGGATTTTTTCTTTTCCAGCAAAAATCTTGGAAAGCAGGTGCTATCTAAGCGTAATTCATAAGGGCTGATTTTTCAAGTAAATGAATAATTCACGAAGGAGATGATTTCAACTTCTCAGAAACTTTAAGCTTCACGTGAATCTGTTATATCAGACAAGAGTTTTGGATGAAACTCGTCCGAACCCTGCAAGTAGTTGGAGTCTATATTTCATTGAGCAAAACCTTCTAACACTTTGTTCCCCGTGAAAATGTGCAGTGAGGAAGACGGGCAGAGCCAGTGAGCGATGATGGTAGGCGACGATGATGATGACGTCGGCGACGATGTTAACACCCTTTACCCTCCTCTGCTCTCTCCTTTTCTATTTCGATATTTGCGGTGGAGCGGTTTGTGTGAATGGTGCTGGTGGGACTGTGCTGTGATGGCCGATTGCCTGCTTCTGAACACGTTGATCAAGTCGGTAAGGTGAGCTCCTGCTTTACTTCTTACGCAGCTGTCACTCTCAAATTTCTGATTAACCTTTCTTTTTTACTACCTTCTGCTCATCACTTCTCTTCATTAGTATACTTGTTGACCATTAAACTGAAGTTTAGTAACACGCTGTATTCCTTATCCAGTTTACTCTGTCACCTTATTTCGATTAGTTAAATAGCATACATATTGTTGTTATGTTACGCGTTAATCAAATTACGTCTGCTCTCTGAGCTGCAGAAAATGATATCGAACTTTTTGATCCTCGACTACCCAATTCATCATTTTGCTTCATTTCTCTTTCCACAAGAAGCGCTGGCTTTTTCAACTTTTGATTTTATTCTTTGATTAATCCTTTTGACGAATTTGTTTTCTAGTTCCATAAATTGCAGTCTCATAAATTTCAGTTTCATAAATTTCTGATAGTTTCGTAAATCATTCAAGGTGGTAAAGTTAGGCGTACCACCTATAGGGTTCCCTTTTCTCAAAGCCTGAGAGTTGGGGATGGTGAAATTTTTTGTGCGTCGAGTGTTAAGTGGTAGATAAGTTACTTTTCAGTTATAGATTTTCTCCAAAATATGAATTTGTTGTTGTTAAAGAATCCTTCACCCTTGCTGATGACCTTAAAAGTTGTTTCCTAACTTGATAAGTCCAGGTTTTAGGCTAATTATTCTAGACTTAAGTACAAATCTAAGTATGAGAAAGCGTTTCTGTACATTGCTATATCATATTTAGGTATAAACGACGGTGCATTCCACTACTTCAGTAGAGGAAGTGGAGTTGATTTTTTTGATAGTACAGGTGGCAAACTGAGAATGTGCTAGCTATTTCCAGCTGGTTAGCGGATTAAGATGATTTGTTTTCTGAATGTTTGTTCAAATTTTGTTCAGAGCTATGGTAAGGAAGGTTTTAAGCTTACGTTAGTTTCGGTTTGAGTCCTTTAAGGGTCTGGTTCCGACTGAGATATCTTTAGCCTAATTTTGTTATTTCTGTTTAAGCAAGGGTCTCATTTAATCCTAATTACCGTTCACACTTTTCTCAAAAAAACACGACACCCACTTCCTCCAGCAACTTTGCTACTGCTTCAATTAAATTAGTTTTTTCTGTCCAAAGGACTTAAACAATTTGCAAATTAAAATCCACGATATCTGTTATCTTCAGCGTTGCTGTAATGCTAGAGGTATATCTTACCTGCTATTGCATGTTCTTGCTATATCTCTAAAATCCCGTGCATTTTATTTCTAGCAAATGCAGATACAAAAATGTGAACTGCAGACAAACAGCTTCCTGCTCTGCTTGTCCGTCCTATGGTTTCATTTATATAGTGTTAAGTCACATTATATGGGAATTGCGTCTATATTTTATCCCTTCTGCTTCTTGAAATTCAACATAAATATGATAAATATGAGGCAGAGGATAGTTTGTATTTGAAGTAGTAAAAGTATCCGTAAAATACAGTTCTATGAAAACTGCCGTATCAAAGCTTATGTACTTTGTTGTGCTTATATTCAAGTACAGCAAGAATAAGATTTATCAGATTTGCAATGATGTTGTAATATTTGTGCATCCATTTCGGTTCCACCTGAGGAACAATGGGAATGATTCGTTTTCAGCGACAAATAATAGTTGTCCTGTGAATCTGATGTGCTATGGTTGTTCATGGTCCAGAAATTTCAGGGCAGGTCGTTCTCGCTCACGACGACGACCACCACCACCACGCGACCATGATCAAGGACCAGTTGATTCAGCAAATTCAGATTCAGCTCATTATAAGTAAGCACGATGTATTTTGATTCAACATCTTATCTCATTTGTTTCCTAGATGTAAACCTTGAGTTTAATTATATTGCGACTACATTATTGCCTTTTCTACTATCAGTAAGCATATACTATTTGACTTAAAAAATAATTCTATGCAAACGTAATCGTATTCCTGTTGCAATACCATAGTTTAAAGCCACTTTTCACTGAAAAATAGTTTCCTAAATTCATTTTTCAAAATATTTCGAAAAATCAGCAATCAAGTTTACAGTCTTCCATGTCATGCCCTAAAAACTGAATTGTAGGTCTTATATATTGGAAAATTTTTTTTTAGCTACATTAGTTGTTTGAAACCATTGAAAAATGTCACATTTCCGACATAGTCGAAGCTGTAGCATATCTTGATAAAGAATGTTTTTTCTTCATTGCAGAAATTGGGACACATTCATGCTTTTTTAATCGTTTTCTATTTTTGATAGAAAATTGCTTTTCGTGGATTTTTGCAAGAACTTAATATGAAATTGTCTCACAAATCAAATTTCGATTTCGCCTTCATCTAATCTTATCCAATCAGATTCAAATTTAATTACTAATTCTGCATTTTTCCACAGGAATCAGAGATACGATGAACCATTGGTCAATGAAAATAAGATGGTTGCATTTCCTAGCGTAGCGGTGTATGAATCATCGTGTAATGATGTTGTGTACATAAAAAATCAGTTGCAGGAACTGAGGAGATTGATAAATGCATGTTTATCGTTCTAGCGATTATTGGTATAACTGTCACCCGTCCTTTTTTGCAGATTTTTGAATTTGGCCAAGAGCATAAAGCTTTCAAATATTTCAGTAATTTGTGCTTTTTTTGGTTTTGGAAAAAAATTCAAGACTATTATTTTTTCTCCAATTCTTGTTTTTTTTACCTGGGTATTAAAATCAGCTGTCATATAACTGATTGACTTCTTCACGCTTGGCGCATTCGTGTAATCTCATTTCCTTCACTTGAAGTTTAGTTAGCATACCCACTGATGAATCACTTTACCAATTGTTTTCTTTACTGCTGTTTTGAATTCGAGTTTTTTTCAGGATTCAGTAGAAGCAGAAAACGTGAACAAATCCATCCCAGTGGTACGTTTCTCTGCTTTCTCTGTGTTTACACTTATTAGTGAATACGAAGGACTTTTTGAAAATTTATTATTCCAGAAAATAGAGGACAGCGATGTTGTGGAGCGACTTCTTATAGAAAATGATGCTTTACGTAAGGAACTGGTGGAGAAAGATAGGACAATCAGTAAATTAAAAGCTCAGATGCTACTTCATTGATTCTGTAATTGATTGTGATTTTTTGCCTAATACCTGTGTGTCTTACTAGACTTCTTCGTTTTCACCTTTTTAGCTGTTAGCTGTTGGGAAATGTTCCTTAGTTGATTTTCTTAAAAAAGGCACATTAAGAACATTAATCGCGAACTGGAATTGAGTTTTGCCGTATTTTGAGTTTGTGTTTTCGAAACGAAAGACTGCAGAAACGCTTAGTAAATTATAATGTTTTTGTTGTTTTTCCCTCTTATTCCTGTGGAGCAGGATCTTGTTTAGAGTTGACATTTGAATGCAAATCCAAAACTAAGGCTTCAGTGAAAATGGCGTTTTGTTTTTCTGAAATCCAAAAATAACTTAGTGAAGAGGTTCCTGTAAATTCATGCATATATTGCGTGGTGCATCACTATAGGTGGAAGCTGTTAGGGAGATATTTTCATTTTATTTCTGTATGGATAGTAGATTTACTTCGAATCAAATTATTATTTTAGTATGCGCAGAAGTGGTTTACAAAGTTGTAATTTCCAGGAGTTTAGTTGAATTTTATGAAATCTGAAGGGATGAATGGAAAGGAGTAGCGAATATTCAGTTTAGTGATGTTCTTTCAGAGTGGAACTCAGCTTTTCTTGTAGTTTTCTTAGCTGATAAAAATTGGTAGCTGGTAAGGAAGATTTCTCGAATTTTTGAGATGTACCAAGATGTGGTATTTGGCCGTTTTAATGTAATTATTCTATTAGCTGTTATTATTTTG